GGTACAGATACTAGCTTGGCTCCCCTGGCTGATACCCGAACTGACACGAGTGCAACTGGTATTGCAGTCTATATTACTAGTTTTCAGCTGAGTATGGGGGTCGAAGGTAGAGCAATGGCATATCGAAGGTGTTGGGCATGTAAGGGCAGAATAACGCTCGCCCAATCGATCATGGGACACAAGTAAGGCCTCCGCTTCGTGATGTTTAGCAGCATGAAAATGGTTATTCTATGGGTGAAAAAATAATATGGTGAATTCATTAAAAGAAATACTTTTAATGATGATAGAAATAAAGACAAGCAGCAATTGTATTAAGGTTATTTTATAAACGGGCTATTCTATTTAATCAAATTAATTGTAATTTCGTTTAAATTAGCTTACCATTTCACTAAATTAAATATTCATCCATATAAATATATATATGCATATCGTTTAAAAGTGATGAGCTTGCAAATAATGAAATAGACTAATAAAAACCTGTTGCATTTGCTGCTGAGGTTGAGGTTGGTAGCTATAAGCATGACTTCGTAGTTGATGGCTGTGGCCCCCAAGCTGAGTGCTAGTGGCAAGTGGTTGTGATACTGTCGAATGTATTAGCCCACCCAACCCCACAGTGGCCATGGAAACTGCGGCTACGGCTGCTGCTGCAACTGCGGACATAGCCTGAGATTGAAGGCCAGGTCCGACCAGGCCAGTTGCAGAAGTAATGTTTGAATTACTACCAGATTGTGCTATTGGGCAAGATGTGGATATCGGAGTGGTAGTGCACACATAAACTGAAGAATTCGAAGCTGAAGTGGTAGCAATTGTGGGAAGAGTGACTGGAGCAGGTCGAGCTGGGGTAGCCGGTGGTGCCGAGTCAACCTGTATAACCGTTTGCGAAAGCTGCACGGTGCCAGGCTCAAAACATGATAGCACCACTTGGTAGACTTCACGGATCTTACGCTGCAAAGTTTAAAAACAATGCAATTCTAGTTTAATGGCATCCAATCTAACTTTCCGATCTTAACTAGGCATCCCATGATTTTGTTGGTTAATTCATGTTAAGCCTATGTACTTACAGATAGGCTAGATTGATAGATAAAAAGTAGAGTTAACGTTGAATCAATATCCTTAGATCTAAGATCTAGCAATGAGATCGTGTTAAGCTCTAATTTTGCTAATACCTTCATGATCCAGTTGTAGATTCACTTAATTCAATCAGCCTCAAATTAGGTTTTAGATATATGTAAGGTTACTGTGTAGTTTAGTAACATGACAAGCATAGATAACAATAATAGATGGAATAAATAAATTTAAAATGTAGTTAGAAAAGAACGATAAGTTGACCTAATGGGTATTCAATTGAGTAAGATATATGCTTAGATTTCCTTTATTTTTAAAAATAATATATATATATATATATATATGGGGGCTAAGAGATCGGTCCGAATCTTGTATAATTAAACTCCAAAAAGATTAATTTCTTATTTTAAAACGATTTCACGTTA